ACCTGCCCCTCCCAGACACCCGCCCCTCCCCAGACACCCGCCCCTCCCACAGACAGGCTGTGAGGACTCAGTGGTTGGCATGTGAGTTCCGTGCAGCAACACCAAAGAACCACCCAAGCTGGAGTTACCTTTAAAAAAAACAAAAAATGAACAAATCGTCTTCCTCATTACGCTCCACAATGTTGCTGTACAGCCAACAATGGCCTGCCTGGCTGGTCTGGCTCCTTGGATAGAGCGTCAGCCCATGGACTACGGGTCCTGAGTTTAATCCTGGTCAAGAGCACAAACTTCATTGATGGCTCGATCCCCGGCCGCGGCAGGAGGCAGCCCATCGATGTGTCTCTCTCTCATTGATGTTTCTCTCTCTCTCTCCCTCTCTCTCTAAGAAAAATAATCAATGGAAAAATAAAGCTAATGACTGCCTATCTGTGATACCTGGCACGTTTCATAGGTATTCTATAGTCCTCCAAAGTAGAAAAGGAGCGTAATGGTTGGGGTTTCTGTGGCTCCAAATACCGCCAGAGCAGTCGGAAACACTCAGACTGCCCAGCGAGACAGAGCGGAGGCGTGCACACTGAGACGCCCTCACCTCCCACGGGTTCCCACCGGGATTTCCTGCCGACAGCCTGCCGCCCTCAGCGCCGGCTCCTTCTCCTCTGCCCATCCCCTCTCTACAAACATGCTGCCCTCTGTTAAGATGCTAACAAGCCCCAAGCTCTAGCCATCCCCGAGTTTCTCCCATGTGCTGGCGTGACGCACGTTAATAAAATTTGCTTTTCTCTTGTTACTCTGACTTTTGTCAGTTGAATTTCTGGGGCCACAGCCTCAGAACCTAGATGGGCAGAGGACATTTCTCCTCCCTCAGAAACTCTCCTAAAGCCACAGGTCCAAAGCAAACCCCCCTCCAGCACTCAAGCAAAAAACCACCGCAACCCACGTCAGACCAAGAAAAGGGGAAAGCGTGAAAAATAACCGGGAAACGGGCATTTCTGTAGCTAAGCCTCATTGCACCCTGGCCCAGGGACCCAAGTACAGGCCACCAGGCCAAGCTGAGGTGCAGCCACAGCCAGGCACGCCCACCACAGCCCCTCACCTGCTCACCCGAAGGCCGGAGGCAAAGCCAAGAGGCCACCAGCCAACACAGCCACCTCCTGGCCGGATTCAAGAGACCTATGTTTCCTAACTGACCCCACAAGTACCCCCAGCCCCCAAAGGAAAAGAACGCTTCTCTACTGCCCCTTTAAAATCACAATTTCACTTGACACCCTTCACTAACGCTGAGCGCTTAGTGTATAGGAAAGGGAGACTTTTGAAGAGAAAAACAACCCAGCAAAATCAATGGTCTGGAATGTTTTACCCTAAAGGAGGAAAACTTACTACTGCTACTGTGTAGCTGTTTCATAAGAGTGGCATTTTGGCCCTAGCTGGTTTTGCTCAGTGGATAGAGCGCCGACCTGCGGACTGAAGGGTCCTGGGTTTGATTCTGGTCAAGGGCCCATGCCCGGTTTGTGGGCTCGATCCCCAGTAGGGAGCGTGCAGGAGGCAGCCGATCAATGGTTCTTTCTCATCACTGATGTTTCTATCTCCCTCTCCCTTCCTCTATGAAATCAATAAAAATATATATTTTTTAAAAAGAGTAAAATTTTGAATAAGAAACCATTTCTCTGCCTGGTCAGGTTATTAAAACAATGGCTACCGGCCATGTTACTGTGAGAGCAGTGATGTGAGGGGTGATTCACAGGCCACAGCGACAGAAACTCTCCGAAAGCCAGGTACTGCCCCATCCGGCTCTCTTGCCATCTCAAAACTTAATTGGCTTTGCATCCATTCAATGCGTGTATTTTCAGAATAAGATCCACTTTTAGAAGGAGGAAAGTGTGACGCCCAACAAAATAGTCACAAGATGTTGCAACTGCAAAAAAGTTGAGAATAATTAATTTTAAAAGTCAAATAACATTGTTGTTCTGCAAAAACAAATATTACTTTTTTTTCCCTAAGACAAAAAAAATGGCCTGCACTTCTGTACAGGACAACAAAAACTTGGGCCTGAGGATGAGGCCTTTTTCACATTTTTAGGTGTATTTTGCCAAACTGAACAGGTGACAAGAGGAACTCATTGCCTTTATGTGTTAGGCCAGGAGTTCAGTCACAGCGGAGAAAACGCAGAATAAGTTAAAAATGCTTGTGTTCAAACTGTCACAAGGAAGCAACGAGGAAGCTGGGAGGGGGGTGTCAGCACGGGGCACCCACCTTCACCTTCCCTTTGACGAAGCTGGCGATGTCCTCCTTGCTGTCGAAGACGGACAGGGTGTGCAGCAGGTTCTGCTCCAGCCAGTCCCAGTGCTGCTCCACCTCCTCCAGCGTCGCCCCTAGTGCAGCAGGAAAGACACGGGATTGAGAGACAAGAGCAAGTCCCAGAACGAGGATTCGTTTCCCAAATGACACGAATCTGTTTATGGAATTTTCCATCCGGGGCTCTCACATCCCGGACCAGCTGCCAGCTGCCCAGGACGCGCCCCCACCGGAGCCGGTCTCCCCGCACGGGGACTTCGACACCTGTCCCGGCCACACCAGCCGGGTGACCCTGGGGCATGCTCTCTGGACGTCCTGCCTCCCTCATATGTGGCATTCCTACGGCCTCCACACAAATGACAAAAATATCCGAGATTATGGCGCTATTCCAGGGTTATAGCCCACGCAGCAGCGCGAATCTCACGCTCACAGTTTCCCTGTAAGAATGAGGCCTCAAGAGCGGCCTCGGCCCGGCCGAGGGGAGCGCCTCCGAGAGGCATTGCCACTTGCAGCAGGCCTGGCTGCACATGACTTCCAGGCTTACAGCATATCCCTCAAAATATATAAAGAAGAGGCTTCAGCCCTGGCCGGCGGCTCAGGAGTTAGAGCAGCGGTTCTCAACCTGTGGGTCGCGACCCCTTTGGCGGTCGAACGACCCTTTCACAGGGGTCGCCTAAGACCATCCTGCATATCAGATATTTACATGACGATTCATAACAGTAGCAACATTACAGTTATGAAGTAGCAACGAAAATAATTTTATGGTTGGGTCACAACATGAGGAACTGTATTTAAAGGGCCAGAAGGTTGAGAACCACTGAGTTAGAGCATTCCCAGTCAAGGGCACATACCTGGGTGCTGGTTCACTCCCTGCTCTGAGTGGGGGCACATGTGGGAGGCAACCAGTCAATGTTTCCCCCTCACCCCTTCTATTTTCTTTCTAAAAAGCAATGGAAAAAAATATCCTCAGGTGAGGATTAACAACAAAGAGGCTTCATAATACATGTTAAAAGAAAAACATTGAAGTGTGTTAGTAAGTTAATTTCTTTCAAAGGCAGCAACAACAACAAAACCATGCTATTTTTGAGGCATTAAGCAAGGCTGTTACCAAAAATCTTAGCTGTGTTAGCTGTGTCGGCTGTGTTAGTTGTGTTGGCTGTGTTAGCTGTGTTGGCTGTGTTGGCTGTGTGAGTGTGTCAGCTATATTAGCTGTGTCGGCTGTGTTAGTTGTGTCAGCTGTGTTAGCTGTGTCGGCTGTGTCAGTTGTGTCAGCTGTGTGAGCGTGTCAGCTGTGTTAGCTGTGTCGGCTGTGTTACCTGTGTTGGCTGTGAGAGTGTGTCAGCTGTATTAGCTGTGTCAGTTGTGTCAGCTGTGTGAGCTTGTCAGCTGTGTTAGCTGTGTTGGCTGTGTTAGTGTTGGCTGTGTGTGTTGGCTGTGTTAGTAGTGTTGGCTGTGTCAGCTGTGTCGGCTGTGTGAGCGTGTCAGCCGTGTTAGCTGTGTTGGCTATGTGTGTTGGCTGTGTTAGTTGTGTTGGCTGTGTCAGCTGTGTTGGCGTGTCAGCCGTGTTAGTTGTGTCAGCTGTATTGGCTGTGTTGGCTGTGTGAACGTGTCAGCCGTGTTAGCTGTGTTGGCTGTGTGAGCGTGTCAGCCATGTTGGCTGTATTGGTTCAATGTTAGAAATGAACCAACAAAGTGTCCCCATGGCTGACATCAGGCCCAGCTACACAGGGTAATGACCACCCTGCCCTGGCGCTGACCATTGAGGAGACCATGACCCTGAAAGGACACACCTGGAAAGCTGCTGACTGTGTGAGCGTGTCAGCTGTGTTAGCTGTGTCAGCCGTGCTAGCTGTGTTAGTTGTCTGTATTCCCTCTCAGGGAGCATCCTCGTCCTCGCCACTGGGCAGTGGGCACCTGGGCTGTGCCCGCAGCCAGTGAAGGCTGGCACGGAGCAGAGGCTCAGTGAAGTCCTGGGTGTGAAGAAGCTGGTGCTGGACAGCGGGCACCTGGTCCACTCTCAGCTGCGTGGGCTGCTTGAGGGCACACCAGGCAGAGGTCTGACAGCAGCTGCTGCTCACAGCTGAGTCCTGGAGCCTCAGACGTGGTGGCAGGTTGGTTCCGGGGAGGACCTTCCCGGCTCGCAGACGGCTGCTGCCTCACTGCCCACACCTGGCCGGGGCAGAGGGGCCTGGAGTCACCCTGCCTATGACCTCCTCTCACCCTAATGCCTCCCACAGTTCCCAGCTCCCAGGACCACCACAGGGGACAGGGCTTCAACGTGTGAATTCTTTGAGGGTCACAATTCAGTCCCTAACGACCGGTGACCCTACTCAGCTACCCAGCACCCACCACCCTGTCTGGCTCTGAAAGGACAAGAAACTCAGGAAGCAGCCATTGGGGTTGTGGTCGCAGTGGATGGGCGTGAGCAGAGCCAGGACAATGGGCAGGTCAAGGTGCCTGGCGACAGGCAATCAATTGTAGGGACCTCCCTCCTCCCTCCTCCCTCCGTGACCTCCCTCCCCAGCAGGTCGCTAGTCCTGAGGTTTGGACCCCTGACCTTTCCTCCCCAGAGGTAACATCTAGGCCTCAGTTGTAGTTCAGCTCCAGGCCCAGAAGAGCAGCAAAACCAGACAAGTGTCCCCACAGCTATCTGGGCCCAGCTGCGCTGGGTAATGACCCCCCTGCCCTGGCGCTGACCATTGAGGAGACCATGGCTGTAACCCTCTGGCTCCTCGTCCCTCCCATCGAGGAGGCCCTGTGGTGTCCGGAAACCGGGGCTCTCCAGACCCCCCATTCCTCTCCTAAAGGGAAAGAACATTTTGACACAAAATCAAACCAAACCATTCTGGCCTCCACTGCATGAACCCATGAAGCTTCCAAATGCTGCCTGTCTGGCCCCGGCCCCAGGCTCCCAGGCTCCCAGGCTCCCAGGCTCAGGACGGATGGGGCGCGCAGGGCCTGCTGCCCGCCGCCCGCCTGCACCTCCTTGCTGGGTCAGTGTCCTCACACAGCAACCGCAGCGCCAGTCACAGACACAACAGACACCCGACGCCTGGCAGGTCGGCCACGGCGTCTGCAGCAGGCAAAGCACGCCATGACCTGGTCCAGAGCCTCTGGGCTGGGCTGGGCCGACAGACCTGCCCGGGCCTCGCTCTCTCCTCGCTTCCAGGGCCTCTTTCTGGATCTGCATCCTTCATCATCTGTGATAACACAGCCCTCGGCTCAGGAGCCTTGTAAAGCGAGCAGTCAGTGGGAAGAGGAGAGCGCACTGGCCCACAGTGATCTGCTCCATGCTTCACGCACTTCCTGTTCCACAACGAAGAGCCGAAGGGTCAGGAAGGAAGGAGAGGGCGAGGACTCCCCGGTGGCCCTTCTATTCCAGCTGTCCCATCGATGCGCGATGCGCCTGAGAGAGGAGACGGAGGCCGATACGTCTCCACGGTCACGTATGAATGAAAGGTCACCCGCTCAACCTTGAAGGGTCCTGCAGCCCCCGATAAGCTGGGTCTCATCGCTAGGGAGCATCTGCAGAGGCCACGGGGCCAGCACTGCCGACGGCCTGACTCGAGCGCACGCGGCCTTGTGCTTGCCGGCCGAGCCCCTCAGCCACGTTCCTGGACAGGAAGCAGGTTCCTTCATCTCAGCTGATAACCAGACACCATGACCACATCACAGTACGTCATACGAATGAAGACAGCCATCAAAAAATTAAACCATTATTCTTTAAAAAATTCTTCTACGGCCCTGGCCGGTGGCTCATTCAATGCCATGGGAATGTACCCAGTTATTAATAACTGTAAAGGAGCAAAGGGAAGGCCAATTGCAGGCCTGCCCAGGCAAGGCTGGGAGACACAGGGAAGGCACCTGTCGGTCAGTCACACCTGGGAACAGGTCACTGGCCAGAGCAGGGGTGGCCACTGCAAGGGCGGGAGGACTGCGATACGCCACCTCCTAAACGAAGGAGCTCCCTCGCTGTGCTCCCGGGACTCTGGTAGCAGGGGGTGCACGCCCTGGACTCCCTCACCTGCCACGTGCCCACGGCCGTGTGGACCTACGCCGGGCCGATGGACTGCAGCTCGCCTGATGCCGACTGGCCCCGCTGCACATGGAGCAGAAACTGGACTCTGGCTTTGCTCCCAGCTCTGCCGACTCCCAGCTGCACCGCTTGCAGGACTGGGATGAAGGGAGGTGGGGCTGAGGGAACCCGGATATAATCCCACACAAATAACATTCACTCGCCTTCCCAGGGGGCCTCTGGGAATGCTTATTCCAGCAGCTCCCCAGGAGCCTCCCACCAGCAGCAGAGGAGACCACCCACGCATTTCTCGGATCACAAGTTGTTTGGAGCATCATCCCGTACCCCAGAAAGGTTGTGGGTTCAATTCCCAGTCAGAGCACATACCTAGGTGACCAGTTCAATCCCCGGTCAGGAGCGTATGGGAGGCAGCCGATGGATGTTTCTCACTCACATCCATGTGTTTTTCTCTCTCTCTATCTCTCCCTCCTCCCTCTAAAGTCAATAAAAACACATCTTCGGGTGAGGACTAAAAGAACAACTTCTTCTACCTGCTGGGGAAGAGCTTATGACAGGAAAAGAGAATTCTAAACGACACCTTGAGAAAGAGAATAACTGCACCCAGAGGCCACCACTGAGCACAGCGTGACGATCCCCCGCCACCTGGGCCTGAGGTGACGCACCGGACGCCTCCCCAGCAAGGACGGCGTGTGAGGAAACTTTTCCACTGCGCTGTCTTCCATTTCCTACCAAAGCTGCCAAAGGGCAGGGAAATGTTCCAAACTATCATTTCCTCTGCAGGGAAGTCTCATGATTGGCTTCAAAAATGCCATAAATCAGGGACGGAGCCTTTCCGCGTGTGTGACGCTGGGAGCTGTTCTCCAACTACGCAAAGTGGCCCCTCAGAAACCAGCTTTTAGAACATGACACAGAGGAGAAAGCAGGTGCACACACTCACGAGGGTGACCCTGCCCTGTGAACTACACCTTGGAGTTCTGCGCACATGATGCACCTGTTTGTGGGTCGTGGTCAAAGCCAAGTCATGGGCAACGTGGTGGGAAA